AGGAGGATGTACAAGGAGGCGGGAGGAAGGAGGAACAGGGGAGATATGCGGGGCCAAGCGGACACACGCCTGAAAAACACGACTGTCGGCATGCTTCGCAAGATGTGCTGCTGTGAGATGGGCTGGTGGGGATACGCGAAGCGTAAAGAATTGCAATGCTGAAGGTATCGGTCGTGATGTACCGTGCCAAGAGCTGTGCTGTGCTGCGCCGTGCTGAACTGCGATGTGCCATGCCGCGGTTGTGCTCTACAGTGTTGTGGATCGAGTCCTCCTTTGCATCCGAGTCCTGACCGAACTGATCTGGATCTTAAGCTCGAGCTGCCTGAGCACATGGTAGCTGCACTGGAGCTCATTGACAGGGGGACGTGCCAGGAGGACGCGCCGCGGAACGTCCCAAGGGACGTGCCAAACGACGTGCCAGGGGACGTGGCACGGGGACGCACCGCGGGACGTGCCAAGGGGACGCGCTACGGAACGTGCCACGGGACATGCCACGGGACGTGCCAAGGGACGCGCCGCGCGACGTGCCAGGGGGACTCGCCACGGGAAGCGCTACGGAACGTGCCAAGTTGCAATGCTGAAGGTATCGATATTGATGTACCGTGCCAAGAGCTGTGCTGTGCTGCGCCATGCTGAACTGCGATGTGCCATGCCGTGGTTGTGCTCTACAGTGTTGTGGATCGAGTCCTCCGTTGCCTCCGAGTCCTGACCGAACTGATCTGGATCTTAAGCTCGAGCTGCTTGAGCACATAGTAGCTGCGCCAGGGCTCATTGACAGGGGGACGTGCCAGGAGGACGCGCCGCGGAAGGTCCCAAGGGACGCGCCAAACGACGTGCCAGGGGACGTGGCACGGGGACGCACCGCGGGACGTGCCAAGGGAACGCGCTACGGAACGTGCCACGGGACGTGCCAGGGGACGCTCAACGCGATGTGCCAGGGGGACTCGCCACGGGACGCGCTACGGAACGTGCCGGGTTGCAATGCTGAAAGTATCGGTCTTGATGTACCGTGCCGAGAGCTGTGCTGTGCTGCGCCGTGCTGAACTGCGATGTGCCATGCCGCGGTTGTGCTCTACAGTGTTGTGGATCGAATCCTCCTTCGCATCCGAGTCCTGACCGAACTGATCTGGATCTGAAGCTCGAGCTGCCTGAGCACATAGTAGCTGCGCCAGGGCTCATTGACAGGGGGACGTGCCAGGAGGACGTGCCGCAGAACGTCCCATGGGACGCGCCAAACGACGTGCCAGGGAACGTGCCATGGGGACGCACCGCGGGAGTTGCCAAAGGGATGCGCTACGGAACAATATATAACAATATATAACACAAAAAAACCGTTTCGCTCGAGCCGTCCTCAACCAAAATTGAATTATACGGTATCCGCGCTCCCAGGGCCACGATCCCTTGTGAATTACGTGGCGCCCACGCTCCCAAGGCCACGATCCCTTAGAAATTACTCGGCACCCGCGCTCCAAAAGCCGCAATCCATCGGAATTTGCGCGGGATTTGCGCTCCCAAAGCCGCGATCTCTCATAAATGACTTTGGATCTGCGCTTCAAAAGCCGCACCCCCTCGTAAATTACGCAGCCCCCGCACTCCCAGGGCCACGATCCCTAGTAAATGACGCTGGATCCGCGCTCCCAGGGCCCCGAGCTCTGGTAAATTACGCGGCGTCTGCGCTCCCAAAACCGCGATCCCTCGTAAACTTCGCTGGGTTTACGATCCAGGCATCCTGGAGCGCCCAGGCCCGTCTAATGTTGCAAAACGAGCGTTTCGCTCGAGACAACCCCAGAATTTCTGTGCGCAGGACGCGCCATCCTCTAGCGGGCATGCAAAAAGTCAACATTTTCATATTTTGTGTGTCCAGGTCGGGGCTCCAGACCTTGGTTTTTGTCGACGATTCTGATGAAAATGCCCCGCACCTTCCTGTTTTCAAAAGAAAGCGGGTGTCTGCAGACCCCGTTACTTATCGAGGATCCGTAATGGGAGGCGCACTTTCCTCGAGCGGGCACGCGCGAAACGCACCTTTCCACGCCGAACTGGACTTTATCTTGTTTTTTATCGAACGGAAATCCGCCGGCGTCCCCCCCAGGGTTACAGAGAGACCTGGGCCGGAACCTTATCTGGGAACAAACGGATACGCTCAAAACATACATTTACCTGGGGGAATGTGCCGATTTGTGTTTTTTCGGGGCTCTCTTAACGGCCTCTTGGGGCGTCTCGGGGGCCTCTTGGGCCGTCTTCAGACCATCGAGGTTCCTCTTGGAGCGCTCTTGCGTTGTCTTGGGTCTCTCCTGCGCCTCTCCGATGACCCCTCTGATCGCCTTGAGTCTGCTTGCGAGGCCCGGCAAAGGCGCCCTGGGAGGCCCGGAAGGGCCAGCGGACCTTTTCCAAGGGCGTTCAGGGCACCGCCGAGGCGTCCGAAAGGGCGTCCAAGGCATCCCTGGGGGGGGGGTCCCCTGAAGGGAGGGTCACGCTAATAAAAAAGATTAGGCCCCATATAAGCACATACATACATACATACATACATACATACATACATACATACATTCATACATACATACGAACATACCTGCATGCATACATACCTACATACCTACATACATATATACCTACATACATACATACCTACATACCAGCATGCCTGCATACCTACATACATATATACATACATATACACACATACATACAGACACACATACAGACAGACAGGCATACATACATGCATTCATACATATGTAATGAATCATGCATATACATGTGTGTTCAATGCACCTGGCACCCTGGTGGAGCTTTCTGGTCGTGTCGAGATCACACTGGACATGGTCCTACAACTAAGACATCAATGACGCGCGTGTCCGTTGAAGGGGAGCGGCCCTGCTGGTCTATACCCTGTTTGGCTGAAGCGGCCGCCAGTCCCAGCAGCGGTCGGGCCCAGGCATCCCTGAGGAGAGGGGAGACGGGAGCCTGCACCGATCGGCGAGAAAAGAACAACGCACAACGGCAATCGCAACAACGTCGCTAGAAGAAGAAACAACGCCATAAACATAAACTGTTTGCGCTCCGCGCGGATTTTTTGGATCCGCGCCGGACCCCCCTCCCTGGTGTGCAGAGCGCGCCAGGGGCGGCGCCGGAGGCGCCGCCAGGGGGGCCCAGCGCGGATGCAAGAAATCCGCGCGGAGCGCCGAAAGTTTATGTTTGCGGCGTTCTTTCTTCTTCGAGTCGCGTGAGCGACGCCACGGGGAGCTGCGGTTCAAACAGAGACAGTGGGTTGCGGTTCGAACAAAAACAAAACTCGGTCGTGGTCGCCAACGACGGTGTCAAAATCGGGCCGCCACGAGTGCGGCAAGAATCCAAAATGTGATCGAGGTGCACGTGTGCGGCAAAACAAACAGAATGGAGAAATATCCTCTGCCCCCTTCACCGTCCTCGTTGTGGCCCTCTGCCAAACTGCCCGCGAAATAAGTCCGCGCGGCAGATGGGGCCCGCAAAGCAACTAGCGCCATCACTCCGTCGTCCTACCGCGAAGCCAGGGGGGAGTCTGCTCCAGGACCAAGCCGATCAAGTCAGGAGGCATGCGCACCTAGCCCACCTTCCCCAAAACCACGCCGTGAGCTCGCGCCCTCGGGCGGCTCAAACTCGAAGATCAGAGCTGCTATGCAGTTTCTGCGCGATGACTCATGCCACCGCGCTGCTGATCGTATCGGGCAACCTTGCATGCTGCAAACGAATGAGTTTGACTACCGTGCCAACACGAAGCACAAACACACAACGGAATCAGCAAAAGTGTCGCGTGCTCTCCGTGGACACATCCGCTTCCCAGAGCAGTGCCGCTTCGTATACAAATGCTTCAAACGTTGTTGGAACACAACGCGGCCAAGTAAGACAGGCGCACATTGTGGCGCTTACCGTAGAATCCAAACTCGCTGGGATCCCAAGGAAGCGTGAGATTGCGACGACCGCTTGCTCGTGACATAGTGCGGTGTCAAAAGATCATCCCCAGAACGAGGCTATCGAACATCCAATGCGGCGCTGCATCCGGTGATGAAAATGCAACCTCTGCTTGCTCCTCTGCTCCTCCTGCTCCCTCTTATTCCTCTTCCTCGCGCCGACGCTTGGCTTGAAAGAAACTGTTCGGGAAACAACTGGCGAATGTCCCAAACAAATGCGTCGGAACGGTCCAGCACGGGCACGAGCCCGCCCTGACCTCCACGGAAGCACAGGCACCTGCCCGCGCTTCCAATATACATCGGATGCTTTAATGCTTCACGGCACGCTGCTGGTGTCAGCGCGGCCGAAAAGCACAAGCCGGCTCTGGCGGTGGCTCCCGCTGCAAGACGTTTCTGTCCCCTGGGCCGTCTCGCATAGATGCTCGCGATGCACATGGTGAGAAAAAGAAGGAGCTACACTGTGGGAAGATATGTCTTGGACCACCGGCAGGTAGATGCCGAACTGTAACCGCAAGGGCGTCGCGAAAGTCACGATGTCTCGTTCCCGTGGGACGGCTGTCAGCTGAGGCGGCTATTGAGAGACAACGGCCCCGACGCTGCGCTCCTTTGTCATCCCTCCTCCTTCCTTGTCTTTCTCCCCGTCGTTCCTTTTCTTCTTCCCTGTCTTCCCCCAAATCGGCAGCGACCGATATCTTGACATCGCGTGGTGTAATTACCACGCTTGTCTGGTAAAGCTCGGCAGCTTGCAGAAGCTGGACACCCTGGCATTGCATGATTACATGCCAAGCGAAGTTGGGAAATGCGCACAAACATACACATCAAGTTCCATGAACATTCACGGGAGACGACTGCCGAAAACATGAGAAAACCATGCCAAACATCGCACTGGGGAAAACAATACGTAAAGGCAAGCGTTAACCGTGGTTGCATTTCCCAATGCCGTTTTCAATCTTCGTTTTGCCCCAGTGCCCGGGCCGTGCGCGGAGAGGAGAAATGCTTGCTGGCAACTGGCATGGCCAAATCAGCCATGCTGGATCTGCATTTGCCTCGAAA